CCTTTCTTCATGGAGTAATTCATTTTTGTGGTTAATGGCATTTTAAGCCGTTTGTTATTGTTAGTATGCGTTGTATTTCCTTGGTAAAGAAGCACAATAAGTAATGGAGTCGAGCACTAAAGTTCTCTGTCTGCTTGTCAACACTTACAGGCAGTGACAGCGGGGTTTTTGACTACACCCCTTGCTGACACCTCGAGGCCGGGGAGGCCAACTGTCTTGGGGCATCATCCAGGAAGGTATCCTACTTCTGATGGCAGCTAATCAATACATAAACCTGAAGTCAAGTTCCTGGAACAACATGCAGGTGAAGAGATGTCTGCTCTATAAGAACTGTGAAGGGGAACCCAGCAGCAGCTCCACCAGTGGATTAACTCCGCCAACACAGATGTGCTCTACAAGTTGGCAGCCTCCAACAAGGATGAGGTAGAGAAAGATTTGCTAGAGGCGGAAGTGTTTCGTACTGTCTGAAAGATAATCAAGCCTGGTACCTTTACAGACATGCAGATGACCAAAGGTGGGTTAACTGTAGATGAGCTCAGGTGTTTCCTTAGAGGCAAGAATCGTGCCATTATTTCATGAGCTTAGCAAAACAGCAGGACAGAGAAAGTCCCCAACAGTTCATGTGGCGGATAATAAGTCTACAACAAAGAGTACTGTTTACTTCCCAGCAAGCAGCTTAGAGTTTCAGTATAATAACGAACTTGTCCATGGAATGTAATACTTACTATAGGTTGTTTAAATGACACCTCATCAGTAAGAACTATGCACATCAGGCGAGAATTTATGCCCCTCATGACGAATACAAGTGTAACTGATCATTTTATGGTGTCGCGTTATGATGGTAAATGTTGTAGTAAGTAGTCACCGCAGAAACTTATGCTAAAAAAAGGGTGTGATAAAGTTACAAATAGCATTTTAGAGATACAAGAAACCCCAGCTGTGTGATTACTCACAATGAGAAGCACCTAATTCTGACCACTGCAATATCTTGAGTTAACACACGGGGGCAGTTTGTCTCTGCTCTAAAACATTCCTAAATCTGGGCTTTCAAAGCATTATATGGATGCATTTGACATTAAGTTGTGTCTTCTATTTTTGATTATTTTGTCATTTCACATGTGAGTTGAGCTGTTACTATAAAAGGTTAGCTTAAGACAAATCAATCACTGAGTCACATGATCAAAACATTAGGGCAGGTTTAATGATTTTAATATTAAAACAAATGATTAAGTGAGAATATTCATGCATTTGAAGTGAAGATGGTATCAAATGTTTGGGTCACAAGGAGGATTTCTTAATAGAATTGCAATTGATTTTTTTTAAAGTTATGAAGACATGTTTTAAGGAAGGAGGAAGCTTATATTGATCTTAATCCATTTACATACAATATATAGAAATGTGTTAAGGATGCAATGCAAACTTGAATCATTTTCCTGAATTGTCTTCTTCATGGCCGTCCATAACCTGAAAAAAATCAAAGTAATTGAACATTTGTTGTTTTTTTTTTTGTTTTGTTTTTTATCAGTCATCCAAACAATTACATTGGTTAATAACAGACTAAAGAAATCATAGAAGTAAAAGGGGGCTTACTGAATACATCCAGTCCAGGAAGGAAGAGACTCTGGTGAAGACTGTGGGTTTTTTATACTGGTTGCACATACCAGATGGACCATAACTGACAACACCATGGACTCTCCAGGCTCCACCAGTATAGCAGCTCAGGGGACCTCCAGAGTCGCCCTGGTAGGGGTAACAGTAAGACCAGACCATGCAATGACAAGAAGGACATCACCTCTCTGGGTCACAAGGAGGAATTCTTAATAGAATTGGTATCACTGTCAGAATTATTCACTTTGATAAATCAACAAACTTAGTGATGAAATTACTGACAAATATTTCAATTTACAAACTGCATGACACTGTAAAGGCTACCTTAGAAAAGATCTGATGATGATCTTCAGATTTATTAACATTAACAGTTTTCATCAGATTTTTATTTTTTATTATTTTTTGCTTATAGAAACCAGTGAAAAAAATACATGATAAAAAAAAAATCTAAGGTTTTTAGAAAAAAATGATTCTACTGTACCTGGCAGCCTGATATGACTCCATCCCCTCCAGCACACACCATGGTTTCCAGAGCAATGCTGCCCCACCAGTCACCCTGAGAACACACTGAATGCTCCACCACATCAAGGGGTGCTTCTTGTAGGATGGCAGGGACGCTGCCTTCATCTGAGAAGGGATTGTAGCAATTTATTTATTCGACATCGTGATGGCCACAGCCACATGATAAAAAGCCAGTGATGTTTCGGGGTGTGGTTTCTCGTTCCCTCCTGCTGCCAGCCTCGTTCACCAATCAAACGCCTGGCTCTTCACTCTGGGGGCCAGACTGTTCATTTAAACCGTGTGGCCAGCTTGTTTGGTTTGCGTTTTTGTTGCTGTTTTGTTAGTATAGTTATATTTCGTTGATCCCTTTTTAAGCCTAGAAATTAATTTTAAATTGTATTATTTTGCAACTTTTTTCATGAATAAAGCCCTATTTTTCAGTTTAGCTCCTGGTTTCCTTTTGCCTCACTGTTTGGTCCCTTACAGACATACATATGGTGTATACATGGGCATTTAAGTGTCCATACTCACAGTCCATTAATCCCCAGCCGGTGATGGTACAGTTGTATCCATGAGGCAGCGTCTCACCAGGGTAGGGAAGCTCAGCGATGGCCACGTAGCCGTTGTCGTACACAGGGTCAGCCAGTTTCAAGAGAGCAATATCATTTCTAAGAGAAATACAAAATCACTAAATTTAAACATTTATTAGCAACTTATTTGTTGTAATTAAAATGTGCTTGATACATGGGTGACCACCCACATTTAAAACCGACTTGAGGGTGAAAAGAAAGTAGTGCTGTTTCTATCTTGGGAAAATTGTAGCTATCTCCCAGGGTCAACACTGTCATAACTTGTGTTTTTTAAACCTATTGTCTTTTAAAGTGAGGCTAAATAAATAGAGGTGGTTTAAAACGCTGCCATTTTACCCCTTGCCAAGGTCACCATTCCAGCCAGGATGGACAACAATCCTTTCCACACGTTTGAACTGCTCACTGCCGTCATCTTCATACAGGTTATACTCACCCACCACCACACGGTACTGGCTAGGATCCGTGCTAATGGGAACATAATAAAAGAACACAGTGCTTACTCACACTGATTTATCAAGCCCAGAGGACAGTAAGATGGGACTTTTAGATGTATAAATTTTACAAATGAAAGGTAACAATAAGTTCAGGAAACAAACCCCATAATACAGTGAGCTGCAGTCATGATGTGGAAAGCATCAATGATGGAGCCTCCACAGATGTGGTAGAATGAGTTGTCATTGTATGAATCATACTGCATAGAAACCTGAGAGAAAATAAATACCAAATACTGAGAAGCAAGGTAAACTATATAGTGTAATTTCATAAGTCTATTAGATACAGGCATATATGGATATAGATACACGGTTGAAACCAGAAGTGTACATACACTGTATAAAAAGACATATAACCTTTCTTTTTTCTTACTGTGTGACATTAAATCAGACTAAACTTTTCCTGTTTTATATATGTACAGGTATGTACTGTATGTATGTAGTGCTCAGAGGTTCTACCTGCCATCTCCATGTGTTGGGTTTAGCATCGTGACCTCCAATGACTCTCTCATTGTACACGCTATAGTTGAAAGGTTCTTCAGCACAAATCAGCCCTTTGGCACACAAATGAACATAGACAAAGACACAACGGTATTATTCTGTTTAGATTCACAAGTTATAGACGGAAAAATCTGTAGTGAATTGTGTTGGCACATGTCATGGCAAGCTTACCAATGCAGGCCAGGAAAGGCACAAGCCACATCATGTTGGAGCACAGAGGAGCTGTGCAGTGCATTTTCAACTATTTATATCAGTTTGACACTGAAAGACCTTCAGAAAGGTCTTCTAGTTTAGGCAGCTGTTATTCTGTCTGTCAATATCAGCAATCTATGTAGATTATTTCACCAGCTGTGAAAGGTGTAAATAGATAACAGAAACCTGTCTAGACTGATTAACGGCCAGTGGAGCGGACAAAATGTTCCTCGGCCTTTTTACACTGTGAGATGCATTCTTTATTTAGTGTACCATACAGATGTATAATTGTTGTAATACCAAAATGTAAGTATATACACATCAATAAATATAAATACATGCAGATACAAAAGCCACATTACATCTAGCTATATCAGGAGGTAGCATTTTTTTTAAATTACTAAATTATATATTAAAACATATTTATTTTATTTTTTGATATTGGCTCAATACATCAATTGTGCAAGTCAACAGTAGGCAATCTTAATGTTGCCTAATGTAAAATGCTCAGTTTCTTTTGTTTTAGACTAAGACTGACTTCTTTGTAAAAATCTGGAAATATGGGATGTATTTTTCTTTCAAAGTGTTGGAACATAATTTTGCAATCAAAACATAAGCTGTTCTTGTGTTTGAAGCTCTGGTAACTAATAAATTAGTAAATCGTGGGCACCTGTTACTCACTGACCATAAACAGTTTGTCAGTTTATTGTATTACAAATGTTTTTAATTTCTCTCAAATGTTCTATGAAAGTTGAAAAACTGTCAATAAGTATACATCTATCATATATATATTTATATGATAGATGTATACTTATATATGATTTTTTAAAGATTATATTTATTTCTATATGCAATATTTTATTCTTACATATCCAAACACAACATGCCTGATTTTCATGAATGAGATCCTAAAACTTGTAATGGCTTGTACACGTCATCTGTTGCTAAGTAACCGTGTAGCACAGCCTGTGCAGGACGGCTAATCGAATGCAGTATTCTTGGTCTCGATACAGACGGGCTCGATTTTTCTGCTATCTTTATTTATTAGCCGTGTCTAGTAGTCCAGTCCTTCTGCTGTCAACCTGCCTCAGTTGTCGGGGCTAGCTAGCTCGAAGCCGGTGTATATCTCCTAGTAATGACTTCTAACATAACTCTACCTCTGTGACATTTAGTCAGCAAAAGTGTAACGTGACCCTTGAAGGCAATGGGGCTGCCGCAGAGTTCGTTTCTGTCGGACGGGGGAACTAATAGTGGATATCATGTCCACGGGGTACGTTGTAACATGCAAGGTTATATGTCCCGCGGCTTCTTAGTCCGCACAGCTCACTTTTGAAATATTATTTCCGCATTTTTAACTCACTGACTTGCTGACAGTGCTACACCTGAACAGGAACTGTTGCAGCATTAATGTATGAATCGCCGAACAGCAGCTGTGCGGCGTTAATGTAAGTGTAGTAACTCGTGGTCAGCGTTACTGGTGTCCGCCCATGATGAGGTGGCACTTGGCACAAATCCAAGCCAGTTAGCCTTCCTGGAGTTTGTAAATGTTTAGTAGTTACTGCAGGAATTTAAACCAATAAAAATACGTCGTGAAGCTACAAATAATACCAGATTATACGAGGAACCCCAGCTGTGTGATGCCTCGCAAAGAGAAGCCCCGAATTCTGGCCACTGCAACATCATCAGCTACCACATGGGGGCGATCATAGCGCTGTGTGTGCGTGTGTGTTTTATGTCGGTTCAAACAAATCTCAAATGTGTTTTCTCACATTCCAGGTTCAAGAGGAGTCACCTGCTCTGAAGGCTGGTCTGGAGCCCTTCTTTGACTTCATTCTCTCAATTGGAAACACCCGACTTGTGAGTAGACTCCTGTGATGCCAGGCCAGGCAGGTTACCTCTGCACTAAATGTAAAAAAATAAATAAATTAACAAATTCAGACTACTTATTGTCAAATGGATGCATTTCACAGTAAGTAATCTGAATGTGTTTGTATTCAGATTACTTACTGTGAAACGGACACTTTTGCCATCAAGCAGTCTTTAATTCATTTCACATTTTTACTCATTATTCATCCTTATTTTATTAATTTCAGTCATTCACATATTCATTGAACTGTGAATTTTAAAGATTACCTTAGGACAAAATTAAACCGACAATGTCTTTTGAAGTAGCACTTTAATGTCTCCATAAAAATGAATAAAATCAATTACGGAATCGCATGATCAAAGCGATGAGGACTGGTTTCATGATTTTAGTTAAAAGAAGACTGATTAAGTGAGAATTTTCATGGATTTGACCTACAGATGGCATCTAATGTTCAGAAACATCACACACCACAACATAGCGATAAATGTTAAAGATGTTAAAATGTGCATTTAACTGTATTTGTCAGGTCTGTTACAGTTTAAAGATTTTATTTATTTTTTTTTAAGTTACTGAGACATTTTTAAGGAAGCAAGGAAGGCAAAGAGGTTTATAGGCCTTTAAGGGTTGACTGTACACAACAATAGATATGGTCAGCCTACAAACGGTAAAGACAATGAGTCTATGTTACCTTATCTGGCAGAAATCTATTCATTATCCTGTTATTTCTTAAATGGCTGATATATGCTGGTCTAAATGAAACCTCAAATAACAAACAGTATATGTATGTAAACTTTATTCTTAATTCTTGTCATGTTGGTGCTGAGAAAAACCTCTCCAAGCTGATGCATTCAGATCCCTGTTTCCTTTTTCTTTCTTTTTTTTCTTCTTGGTAAAAACATCCATCATATGTCAAAAAAGATTTGGTTTCCATGAACAAATTATAAATATACTGTACACACACACTCCTCATTGTCGTGACCCTCTATATGCCTTGATATGATTTTAGCTGTATTCTGTGTTGTGTTTCATTTCTGTGTTTTACTGCAAACCCAGCATGACACACAATTTTCTTTCCCCACAGTGAAATGTCAACGTTGCATTATAGCCTCAGCAGGAAATAGTAGCCAAACAGTCTGCTGCCATAATCTAATTTCATCTGTTTTTACACGAAAGCCGTCTTTGCGTTGTCACAGCTGGAGTTGGCCATATTCCTGTGTTTCCCCAGAATAAAGAAAGTGACTTGCTGAAAGACCTTCTAAAGGCCAATGTGGAAAAAGCGGTCAAACTTGAAGTGTACAACACTAAAACCCAGCGGGTGAGGGAACTGGAGGTGACACCCAGTAACATGTGGGGTGGTCAGGGGTTGCTGGGTGCTAGTGTTCGCTTCTGCAGCTTTGAAGGAGCCAGTGAGAACGTGTGGCATGTCTTGGTAAGTCAAGTTTACCTTCCTTTGTTCAAGCTGAATGTAGTTTCCTGTTGTGTAAAACAGATTACTGGCAGCTGTGAGCTTGTAGTCCACACATTTTCTTTTTGTATTGTGTTGTAAAAGGTTAAAGGAGTTAAGATAACTAACTGAAACGGGTAAACAACAACAACAACAAAAAAAAAACATGTTTGCAATTTTGCACCTTTATTTTGAGCTTAATATTGTGCCAAATCTGCAAGGTAATGCTAACTGTGTATTTCTTGTAGGTTAATAAAATGTTCTGACAAATGTTAATGTCATATATTATTTTGGATTTTCGTTTAATTCAGACAGTGCTATTGAAGAAAAATGCCTTCTTTCTTTCCCTTTGTAGGATGTAGAAGCAAATTCTCCCGCAGCACTCGCCGGCCTTAACGCACATGATGACTTTATTGTCGGTGCTGACCAGGTGTTACAAGATGTGAGCTTTCTTGCATTCTTCATTTAATTAAAATTCTAATTTAATATTTAAGAAGAAAAAAAAAGCATACACTGACAGAACTCTTTTTGTGTCACCCCTGCAGTCAGAGGACTTCTTCTCTTTGATTGAAGCCAGTGAGGGGAAACCTTTGAAACTGCTGGTGTATAACATACAGACTGAGCAGTGCAGAGAGATTGTGGTGACTCCCAACGGAGCATGGGGAGGAGAGGGAAGGTCAGCTTATTTATTTTCTTTTCAAATTAAAGTACATCATAGCAACAACATATTGCTGTGGCTTAATGTGTCAACAGGCTGTGTGTTCAAGATAGAGGCAGTTATGTCAAAGTGCTTTAAACCTGTGTTCTTTATAATGACCAGCAGGGGGCAACACCTCTCCTTGCAGAAATAATTCTGAAGACAATGAGAAAGTTATTCCTCTTCTCACCTGATTTGTCACCTCAGTAAACATTTTTCTGATCAGTTTATGCTTTAAATCGCTGGTTTCATGCCTCCTTCATTACAGCATGATGTTCATTTTGTAAGATGTGGTTCCATTTAGACTAAAATAAAGCAGGACATGTTTTATGGCACGGCTACCTTGTGATCGACCAATCGCTAGCATATGAGTGTAGATACTGTCCTTGGGTTGTCCAGTCAGATCCACCCTACTCTCATTACATTTCAAAAGAGTAAGATAGCAATGATCAAATGCCAAACTTGAGGTGTCCTTTCATATACAGTTAACCATCATGTCACTAGTATGCTCACAAATGGAATAAACCTGAATTGAAATATCCATGTGTTCTGTGTGCTACATTTTAGCTTAGGCTGCGGCATTGGCTATGGCTACTTGCACAGGATTCCAACTCGTCCAGTGCAGCTTAACATCCAGAATAAAAGTGTTCTTCACCCGACGGTCAGTAGCGGCGGTGAAGAACAAGTTGCAGTTGAACGCACTGAGGTACAGTCAATCTTTTTTTGTTTATTTTAAATGTCCTTTGGTAGAGACTTTATGTAATCTTGTGTTCTTTGTCTTCAGGTGTCTTCTGTGGCTGAATGTAGTCCACCTACTGAAACAGACTTGAATCAAATCGAAGGAGGTATGCAGGAGCTGAGTGTGAGCTCACCCACACAGCAGGCTGCAGACCCAGGTAGCCAATCTTATCTGAAGACACATTAATCTAATTGACATATTGAGTCACTTCACGCAAAATAATGAGCCTTTTCTTCTGTGCTATTTTCAGATATTTCCAACACACCCGAAGTGATGACTTCAGATTTGTCAGATGCCGTTTCCACTAATGGCGAGGGCCACACCTCCATGTTTGCTAATTATGGAGATGACTCGGGCGATCAGTGTAGCCTGGGTAAGTATTTCGCACATGATTAAATTGTGTGGCTGAATAAAGCAATTATGGGTTAATAATGTCGTCCAACACGAAAAGAAAAATGAGAACAATTAAAGCCGGCCATTGTTGACACGCCTTGCAATTTGGGTCCATTTTATCCCTTAGTTGGTCCATTAGTTTCTGATACTGCAGAATAGAACAAGCCCTCCCAAATATAGAAAGCATAATTTTTTATATAGATGTTTGCAATTAAGACACAGGGCTTAAGCATTTTATGAGGCTGGTGTTGGTTAGTCGTGCTCATCACTAATCATCATGGCTGTATGGAATGAAGCGAGGTAATCTGAGTGTAGGTTTAAACTCACAGACAGTTTAATGGCAACATTTGCCTGTGTAGTCAAACAAATAATAATTAGGGGAAGGTTAAAAAAGAAATTTGCAAAAAAAGTACACTGAATTCATCATGAAAGTGTAACTGCATCCTTGGGCTTCAACTACATGTATTATTATTATTTTTCAGATAATTCATCTGTTGACCAAAGACCTTCATCTCCAGAGAGGGAAGAAAAACCAGACATTCAGGAATCTGAGCAGGGCTGTGATGTAGATCTGACCACCAACGCATCTGCACATGACAGTACTGGCCTTGAAGCTACCACAGAGAGCCTAAGTGTTACAAGTAACCCAGAGATGCAAGATCCTAGTTCAGAGCCTTCAAGCTCAGACCTCATTACCAGAGAATAAGTAACTGTCAAGCTAGTTTGCATAACAAAAGATGAAGAGCACATCGTGTTACAGAAAAGCTTCCGTTATGATTGTAAGTTGTATCACTGGAACTATTTTTAGCTTCCCAGAATTTTATTTCTATACCAGTGCCATTGCTGCATGCTAAATTGCACATTTAAGAATGATATTATTTTGACAGGTAAGACTAGAAATACAGATGGCTAATGCAATATGAATGTATTCTATAATTTAGGCACACTATATGTTTAAACATCAAACAAGATGAAGAATTAGCTAAGTCCAGATGCTGCTGAAAACCTTCCTTGTTTTAAAAAAAAAAAAGAAAAGACAAAGGTTAAAAAAATAATATTTAGTCTTGTTGCTCTTACCACCATCACCTTAAATAGTTTGAAACACTGTAGATGAAGAAAGCTTGACCTGGAGTTCACACATATCCATGTGGGTTTACTTTTTAGGTTTTGGAATTGGGGTTTATGTTTCTATCTTCTCGTGGGTACGACGATTTTTTAATCTCAGGCTTTTACCATTTTAGCCTTTATGCCTTTATGTCTCGTTTGAAATCTTTTTTTATATGTAAGTTTGACTTTTGATCGGTGGACATGAGTGAGCTATGTGTGATGCGTAGTTGTTGTCTGTCTCGTCTCTTGATATCAGTTTTAATTAAATTATGTTTCTGATCTGTATGGAAGGATGGGAAATATACAGATATTTATAAAAACATGGTCAAGGTAAACCTCCAGTAGTCTACTTGTGTTTTTTATGAGGTATGTGCATCATTACAGTGCAGAAGTTTTTCTATTTTGTGTGTCGAAACCACCTGAAAAGAAGGCTGACAATATATTGACAGGCCGCACCTACTTGTTCTGAATCAACACACCTAATTCAATGAGTGTTCTTTGTTGTTGTCAGTACAAGTCATTTCTAGAAGAGTGAGTTCATGCTTCGAGACAGCAGATGTCAGCAAACACCTCACGATAGCGCTCGCCTGGGTGAGCTCGGATTTTCTGCCGTTGCAGCTTCGGGAATTATGTCAGATTAGAGCTCACATTTTCAGGAATGATTGGCGTCATGAGGCATTTCTGTACAATGTTTGTTTTTTAAATCACATCTGCTTTATGGAAGTATGCAGGTCAATGATGGAATTCATTTGTTTGATCCAACTGAAAAGGATCAGCTTGCATTAGAGATGGAAACTTGATAACACTGATGTCTTTCACACTCACAGGCAGTGACGTGATGCATCATTTGTACCATTTAGTGCTGCATGTATTGTACTATGTATTTAGCATTGGCCATATATAGTGCCCGATTGGGTTGAGAAACCCATTTAACTGGGAAACAACAGATTTTAAACAGAAAATGTAAATGATAATTACATGCTGGTGTGTTTAAAAAAAAAAAAAAGTTTTGCATTTTTAAAAATTTGTTCCCATCGCTGAGATTCCCTCGGCACTGGTTCATGAACTACATGCAGCATCAGCCATTAATATTTCATCATTTTTCTATCTATACTTGTGCCACTTTTTAATCCCAGATCAGAATCAAACCAAATGTTGGTTGCAAAAAAAAAAAAAAGATGAAATAAATAAATACAAATCAAAACATTAACCGGGGGAAGCTACAGTAGCAGAAGGGGGAATATGCCTCAATTATTTACCAGGGCACTCCACTCTTCAGTTCACGGAGGGGGATGGGCACGAGGGGAAAGAAAAGACTGTGCGGGGGGAAGAAAGACGAGAGAGAGATGGATTTGTCTTCTTCCAACCAGAGCGGTGGAGTGCTTTTCTTAAAGAAGCTTTCCTCTGGAACACCTGTGAGTGTATGTGAAATGAGGATTATGTTTCTTATGTGAATAAGAAGTAGCTCAGTGGCTTCGAATCTGCCTGCGCACTGACATTTCATAGTGGCAATGTTGAAATTCTGGAGAAATCAGAACCTCAAGCTTATCAAATCAACATATTGCCGAGTTGGATGATTTTTGCGCTTTTTTATTTATTTTTTTATTCCTCGCCCTCAGGCTAAACATGCTATTTCATTGGCTCCGCGTGAGGTTTGCAACATGAAGATAGCTTTGTTTGAAGAAGCAGCCCAAGGCAAAAGCCAGCAGCTGCATGCCAAGAGGAGCCGAGAGGTGAAGTGTAAAGGGGGCCACCTCTGGAGGAACATGCCTTGCCTTCCCTTTTCTCCCCTTTTTTTTTTTCAATTTTTTAAACTGAGATTGTTTCAAAGGACACTGTAACGCAGCCGAACCCACATGTCAGCTTAGCTTTATCTCAACCCCTGAGAGGCTCGGCTCACAGGCACCAGCATAGTGCCCGTTGCCTCAGTCTATCGCTGCAGCATGACAAATTGTGAAATAGAATAACTACAGAGAAAGATAGAGAGGGAGGGAGGTAAGACATGGATGGAAAGGAAAAGGATGAAAAAGGTATAGATGTGAGGCTGGGGAGAGAGAGAGAGGGTTGAAAAATGATTGAGCAATTGCTTCAACTGCATTGGTCACATAAAAATGCATCTTACTCTTTCATCTTCTGGCTGATTTAATGTGCGCTGTTGATTCTGTGTCACACGAAGTAGGTTATATTAGCTTGGAAGTGTAGTTAAATTAAACATGACATATTTATGGCATGTAAAAGTGAGATATAACACTACAGACGCACCCTTTTCTGTTCATATGTGTGGGAACAAATCCCCTTCGCACTCCCAGACTTCTATTTTCGGTTATTTTTTTTAATCGCCTTCCCACCCAAGCCGCAAATATCTCGGTGAGATGCAGCCTATATTTGGCAGTGCTGTGAGGTGTATTTGCATACAAGCGCCATGCAGTGTTGTTCACAGTGTGCACACCAGAGCCTGGGAATAATCTCAGTGAGTGCCTATCTGTGTTATGTACAGCCCATAATTACATTCATTCATGCAAGAGAGCTGTCACTCTGAGGGGTCTGAATTCATTAGGAAGTTGTTTTCAACTCCTGCCGTGATTAGAAGCTGACTGCGTGTTCGATTTTGTACGGGAGATTAGATTTTTCTCCTGGTAAATATTGCAGCCTTCCATCGATTTAATTATTAATTACAGTTCAACACATGCTTATAATTGTGCAACAATTAGTTCGCCTGCATTGCACATACAGAGAACCTGATAGACGACCTATGAGCCGCACTGCTGGCAGGAAGGGGAAGGAAGTGAGTGTTTGGTTAAATTCAGCCACCTGAAACCAGTTGTGAATATCGAAAGCTGGTCAGACCCGACCAATAATGAATGCTGATAAGAGAAGTGATGTAAACTGTGGTCAAAGCCTACGAGGTTAGAAACTGTATCATATCTGCTTTGTGGCGTTGTAAAACCCACCGACTTTCCTTCTGAGAGAGCATACTCATCAATCACATGAACACCGAAAGTTGCTTTTCAGGAAATTAAAAAATAGATTTTTTAAGGATTTCAATAAAATGTCACTTCTTCTGTTCTAAATTCTATTTGCATGCAAGACTTACACAAGACTCTGCAGCCAGATGAGCAGATATGTGAGGCTACCTCTGGGCAGAGTGCTGCAGTGAGCTAAATACTAACAACATCATTCTAACAAGCTCAGAATGAAAACACTAATAGGATTTATAGGTATAAATGGCACTAAACATAAAGTAAAGCTCCACCTAATGAGAATGTCATTAGTTTTGCAGATGCAGCCCCAAACCAAAGTAATGAGCAAATGTAATTATCAACTCGATAGTCGCCCCGCATGAAGTCCCAATAGTTATTAATCAAACCACCAAAAACTCATCTTTGTTTACCAAAGTTACATATTTAGAAGTTTTTTTACGTTGATACAATCCATTCCTACCTGTATTTCTTTATATTTCTTCTTTCTTTATTTATATCCTTTGCCCACAGGATTGATTGTTCCCACATTTTCCATTCATTTCCTATGTAACTAGCCGTCTAGTGCATTCTGCTAGCAGCGTGTAGCATTTCCAAGGTGTGGTACGTCATGTTGGATGCTGCTTGTTTGCGTAAGGTTGAGGTCCAGGCTACTTCCTAGCTTCTAAACTAGTCATTGTTGAGCTAAAATGTTGACAGATTCCGCAACAGCATGGATTATTTCTCACCTCAAATGTTTTCAGAGTGACATTTTGGGGAACTGTTTTTGTTACATAAGTAAAATTTTCAAAAGAGAGGCCATGTTGGTCTCGTTGGAAACCCAGGAGCAGACAGCCAACAAGTATTCGTCCAATTAGGTGCAGCCAGTGTTTGTGCGACTGAAGGAGTTTCATAATCAATCGTGACGCTACCCTGTCGTACGCCCATAAATGTTGGAAATTGTGGACATACACCCTTAGAAGTAACTCTACACCGCTGTTTCCTTTAGAATGTGTGGATCTATGAGTCCTTGCCGTCTCTGTGCATGCACCCATCCTTATTAGCTGCAGCTCAAGCACACCAGCTCTCCAGCAACTCAGTGCACCACAATGGCAAGTTGTGATATTGGAGTAATTTAGTCATACAGGTTTGAACCAGAATCAAATTCTAATGAGGACTAGTGATACAGAAGGTTTTTGGCGCTGACAAATTATTTCACTCGTGGACACGTTAGCAAGATTTTAAAAACTTAAATCTAACCAGAGGGAGGCATTAAGATGTCAGAGGTGATTAGAATTCCTCCGCAAGGGAGTGTCAATGTCTTTTAAAATAGTTGAACACAAACATCAACTTCATGGTGGTGCTGGAGGAAAAGTCAGGGGATCACCAAAGTCATCAGGATACATCATCTGGAAACCATGAACATCTCAAATTTCCCTTCCATCCAGGCATGGAACTGTAGTGACTGTAGAGCTATTTGAACCTAAAACTGTCAGACCGACTACATGACACTGCCATCCTTACATCCATGTCGCTAAAAAGGCTGAAGTATAATGGTTCATCTTAAAAAAAAAAAAGCAGTCTTAGCCATGGTCCTGTCTTGGATCTTTGTCACCTCTCCCACTTGCCTCCGTTCTCTCTCTCTGTTATCAAAGGTGAAAATAAACCTTTAATCTTGAGCAATTTGCGGTGGTTTCCTGATGACAACGGAGCAAGAGATAAGGCAAATGGGATGCCACAGCCAATGAGGACGGTTAGCGAGGGTGGCCTGCTTTCTCTCCAGCACTAATTCCCATTCAGCGGGGGTGAGGAGCTGGACACACAAGACAGCACACATTGTTCTACTGTCAGGATGACCCTGCTGATGTCAAGTCTCCACCCATCTGCTACTGTGGCTCTCAACCTGAAAAAAGACTTTGCTTGTGTCTGTGCCACCTATTTGTGAGCCATCCACGGGATGAAATTAGTCATAATCAGACTGTTTTTGAAAAAGATTACAATCCAATATCTGACAATCCCTTCAGGTCATGTGATTTTGTTTTTCATAATATTGGAATCCAGTGAAAATTGATGTTTAGCCATAAGCTGTTTAATGATTGTTGCTCATTAAATGTCTTTTTTTTCGAATAGTTTGAAAGCTTGAGTCACTTTCTATTGTGTCCTTGAGGCACCTCTTTGAAATTAGTAATACAAAATTACATTACTGCTACATTATCACTGTTGTCTTGCTGCTTTCATCAGGTTTGTTGTGGCAGCTTTCTCCCTGTGTTATATACAGATTGCTCCAAAAACACGTCAAGCTGCTGCAAGTCTCCAGAGTCTACAGCATTTGTTTGCTCCCAGTTTTCTCGCTTGTGACTGATCAGAAAGCCCCCTTT